AGAAAAACAGTACGATGACATCGTGGTAAGCATTGCACTATGTGAGTAGGTAGGTACTGTTACGTGGCGTCCTTTCTCTTGAGTTGCGCTATGCTTAATAACTATCTGTATAATTTATCCTACTGCAAGATGAAAACGAATTAATTGTAATATGCCATGTATTATACAAAAAAAACAGTGAATATAGATAAATGTGCATATGTAGCAACAATAGCACATGCGTGTGCAGCGTCGCTATTTGTACAGAAATTTTCAATGTTTATTTGTATATTTCTTAAAATAAATATGTTTATTGTAATGGCAAGTCGACACACGATCAAGACAAATTAAAATAAAGTTGTGATGCATGAAATAACAAAACACAGATTCTATTGCCTCTGCAAAAAGGAGCAAGCGTGCGATATGAAAATATAACAGCATTAACAATTGCTAAACAATATATAACGAAGAGCTTGATACTAATTACGGAATAATAATGTAGAAGAACAGGACAGAAAGGAATAATATAATAAATTGTGGAAGAATAATACTGGCAATAATATATATTTAACAATATATGTGATAAAGAAACAGTACACAATTTGCATATGAACACGCGCGTGAATAATGAATTTGTATTATTTTTATGGTACATATTCGTTGCAAAGGTGATGATTATGGAAAAAATATGTCATACATAATAATGTTTTACACCAAGAACAAGTAATTATAGCAGTTTGGCCACAAATATCGCATTCTATGTTTAAATTACTTTGGAAGCAAAATTCAACCGGTGTTTGAATTCTGTTGGTCTAGTCTGTATATATTCACTTTTAAATCAGGCATATTTAAATAAATTTTGAAATCTGGGCGACGAGAATTGATGTTACGTTAATGATTGCAATTTCAATATATTATTTTTAGTATGAAGATCAATTGCAAGATTTAATAACATAACAGTATCAGAAAAATGTCTAATAAAATTTTTCCACAATCGGAAGCCGTATACATCTAACGGTTGTATTTTTCCTGTTGCACCGGCTGGAATTGTTAGGAAAACAATATCTGTTGCAAAATCTGTTCTCGTCTCCTCAATTATGTTGGGATAATGTCCACTTTAAGAATCTAATAATAATACGGATTGTGGGCCAACATTCGGAAAAAATACTTCTTTCAACAAAGATTTTATATGACTCGATGTTAATTTGCCTGATTTAGAAGCTGCAACGAAAATGTTAGGTGCTTTGAACATATTGGGTTGGCAACTAAGTGATTGCGGATTTTGTCGACAGATGGATTTTACACTTTCTTTTGTTTCGTGAACGTGTTCAAAGTACCTAACCTATATTTTTTTCTTATTGTTTGGACTTTTACCTTTCATTTAGTACAAAAATTATATCGATTAGTTCTTTAGTTTTGTTTTTATTCCAATTTAAAAATGGAAGAGCAAGACGTGCACTTCAGACATATTTTATTGTATTATTTCCGAAAAGGCAAGAATGCATCGCAAGCACACAAGAAGTCATGTGCCGTATATGGGAATGAAGCCTTGAAAGAAAGGCAGTGTCAAAATTGGTTTGCCAGATTTCGTTCTGGTGACTTTTCATTGAAAAATGCTCAACGATCTGGCCGTCCAGTTGAAGTCGATGAGACCCATATCAAGGCCATTATCGATTCAGATCGTCAGCACAACACGTGATATTGCAGAGAAGCTCAATGTATCGCATACATGCATTGAAAAAGATTTAAAAAAGCAAATTTAAAATTTTGAATTTTCATTCTTATTTAAAATCCGCAATCACTTAGTTGCCAACCCAATAGTTTCTTTTACTCTAGGACCGAATGTTCCTGTTACTTCCTTTAAATTAATAAAAGGAGGCGATAATAGTCTACCATCTGCAGAAATAGTCGGCTGTATAGTATAACTGTGTGTGGTTGCTGATGTAGATTGTATTTACAGCTTCTATATTTTTTAGACCTTTTTGGGATAAAGTACGACCAGAGTGAAATTCAAGTTGGAATCCACTCTGATCCGAATTACAAACATTGTCTACGCCGTATCGTTCAATATAATATTTTACATTTTCAATAAATGTATTACACTTATCTTCTAAATCTGTTTTCGATAACAATGATTTTTTTGTTACAAATTTTGTTATTTTTCGAGAGACGATATCATACGAAGTTTTGAATCTTTTTACCCACATTTCGGAAGCTTTGAATCCTACCACATTTTCCTCTTCTTGTGCTCGAGAAGCCCATCGAGCAATGTCAATGTCATGAATAATTATTCTATTTTCAAGCGCTTCATTAAAACGGTTTATTGTATATTCAGAAATTCTTTTTAATTTTTCATCTCTGCTGCCACCTGCACTGATTTGGTCCTCTCATCGTCGTAATTGTCGCATCGATGTTATTTTTCTGTTATCTTCTTTTAACTCCTTCAAGCGATCTTGGTCCTGTTTTACCGCTCTTCCAGTATTCCACAGCTTGCCTTTTACAATCATTTGATATTCCTGCTTCAACGGAGCTACAAATAACTTCTTCCGGAAGATATTCTTTTCTTTCATTTTCCTCTAATAAATCAATATTTCCCGCTTCTGGAACTTCATATGTATCGTAAAAATCTAAAGTTTCTTCCTCTTCTATTTCAAATTCATTTTCTATTTCTTTTAACAAATATTCAATCTTCTCCTTCACTTTTACTTCTTTTGGAGTTATCGGACTTTGTGGAAAGTTAAGAGCAATGAAAGTTGTATAGAGTAACATTATAACATTCAAGGGATTTGTTCGCGCAAAGGCGAAATTGGTTTCGTCTCGAGCGGATAGTGATTAGCACGTGAACCCGGCGCGACGTCGGTTGTATCGATGCAAACTCCGATACGTTTTTCTTGTTGTTCACTCCAATCAGATAAACACGACCACCTTACGTCGTGGAAAAAAGTACACGTGCTCGAGTCGTGCGCTTCTGGCGCGGGCCGACAACGCTCATCGCTAGCTAGCCAATAGGCGATCGTCATTGTGCTACATGTGCGATGGCTCGTGTTGGCCGCGTGATCGACGTCGCGCTCGCCGGTGCGTCGCTCTCGCGCGTTTTCGCGTGGCTTCGTCTGGATCGTAGTGCCCATGAGTTGTACAAGGCATGCGCGCCCGGAGGGGGCCACCAATCCGCTCGGCGTTTCTTGTGACACGCGTACGCGGAAGCAATTAGCCATAAAATGCTAATATCTGCGCAATGCGGATTGATGAGCGGATCGATCGCTCGCGTTAAGGAGCGTGTGGATAGGTCGACAACAGCCAGAGCCAAATCACAAGTCGAGCGGATAACCATCGTTTTTTCGGGTACTTGTAGCATTGCGCGTATCGATTCGCGATCCTGCGTGCTACTTGTAGGATCACGCCGTTCATCGGCGATCTCTCCGGACTCGGATTATTAATCAGTTTGCCGCCCCGCAAACTCGGCAAGTGAAGACGAGCGGTTGTGCTTCGCGTGAGTCCGTCTCCCGATCGAGCTTCATGCCGTCCGTGTTGTTGTGAGTCGACGCGGAATTGATACCGTCGTTCGACGATCATCGCAAACTATATTTATAACGGTTTCGGTAACCGTTGCGCTCGTCACCGATAACCCTGTGAATGGAGTGATGAACTGTCATTGTCGTGGACTCTGTTGATGTGCTGTCTTTCGTGAATCGTGTCGCGTCTCAAAGCATAAATGCAAGATTTATAAACTATCACGGTCTACAGTCACTTTCCTTGTTTAAGGATCCCGAACCGTCCTCGCGTCCTTGTACTGGGCGGTATCAGCCCAAGGCGATTCGCGCGTGTGATCGGTCGACGGCAGCGAACGCTCGCTCGCCGATGGATAAAAATTCGACGCGCTCGCGCGAACAGGATTAAATTGCATCATTCTGAAAAATATTAAAATGAAATATTTTTCTCGAACCATGATATATAAAATAATATATAAAATAAAACACACTTCATAATTAATTCAGTGATTTTCTTATGTTAATCCTGATGCCGCTTCTTTTCTCTGTCAAATATACAGGGTTCTCAAAAAGTTATCGGAAGATAAAATATCTTGAAAACAATCAGTTTTTGGAAAAAATGTTTCAGGCAAAAGTTGTAAGGTTTAATATGATCTATTTACTGATCTTATCAGTTTGACCTTGGCTAGCGTCAACAAGGTCAGGGCAAAGTCACCTTGAACTTTTCAAATGGAACGCCCTATTTTTTTGGCATATTCTTATAATTTTTCAAGAGCTTTCCAAAACACTACAACAAAGTATTTTTTTGTTAAGTACATCCCGAGTTATAAAGGTTCAAAGTTACAGTATCGTCGGCATTAGCATTACCCAAGGTGTACCGCGTGGAGGTTGCACGATCGGATTTACACCTCGTGTGCGCGCGCGCGCCAATTAATTTTAACACACACATACACACACACACGCGCGATCGCACGCACACGCACGCACGCGCGCACGCACGCACGCACGCACGCACGCACGCACGCACGCACGCACGCACACATACACACACACACACACACACACACACACACACACACACACACGCACGAGATGTAAATCCGATCGTGCAACTTCCACGCGGTACACCTTGGGTAATGCTAATGCCGACGGTACTGTAACTTTGAAGCATCATAACTCGGGATGTACTTAACAAAAAAATACTTTGTTGTAGTGTTTTGGAATGCTCTTGAAATACGTAATAAGAATATGCCAAAAAAAGTATGGCGTTCCATTTGAAAAGTTCAAGGTGACTTTGCCCTGACCTTGTTGACGCTAGCCAAGGTCAAATTGATAAGATCAGTAAATAGATCATTCTAAACCTTTTGCCTGAAACATTTTTTTCAAAAACTGATTGTTTTCGAGATATTTTGTCGTTCGAAGGCTTGAATATTAGGCCCCGTCAAAAAAGAATTATTCTCTAACATTAGTTGAACACACAAGCACACACACATATATATATATATATATAACGTTATATTAAAATATTTTTCAAGGTTACCCATTGAACAATTTTTGCGAATATTTATCGGAATATCTAGAAACATTCTACATCAAGAACACGTACATATGCAAGGTTAGTATTAACAATAATTTTTATATTTTACTAATAATTTTTTTTAAGAAGATAACTATCTTTATCATGCTCTAGAGAAGGAAAATGTATTAGACATATCTTTGCAAAATGAAAATGACAAATTATGAAGAGGAATTTTTTGTCGGACTACCTGAAACTGTTTGTTATGAACAACATATAAATATGCAAAGTTAGTATTAACTGTATTATGTATGTCTGACTTACATTCTTATTAACTTGCCTCATCACTTTTCAGGAAACGAAAATATTCCAAATATATCTTTGATAGACAATACTGGAAAAAATTTTGAAGAAAAAATACAAGTTACTATAGATCCCAAAGATATCCCAATAAATGTATTAGAACCTAGGATTACTCTAATAAAGCTCACACGTCAAGACTGCGAAAATTAAGAATAGTCAGCAACTATTAGCGTTTATTAAAAACACTATTCCATCAAAAGTAAGTATACATTGAAACGTTACTCATTATCGACAGATATAATATTTACACATTGAAACATTTACATAATGTTCCAGATTACACGAAAACGGAAAGCACGTCAACCTTGCAGTCGTTGCAGATAAAAATAACCATATATATTTAAATATATACGTTATATTTTAGTATGCGCGCTTCCTACTGTTCTTTTATTGGCTTGTTATGTAATTGTTATGTAATTATGCAACACACATTGTTTCGGAAATGTTTATAATACATATTATTAAAGAAAATAACTTTGAATATTAGCACATAAGTAATTTTTATATAATTCACCTTAAAGTATTGTGAGAAATTAGCAGTAAATACTTTCAACCTAATCTTGCATACAGCCTTAGTCTACAACACATTTCAGTACGTAATGCTTAACATATATAATACTGTTATATTGGCAACAAATCGACTGTCTTAGAATATGTGTGGGATAAACGTCATAAAGAATATGTATTAAAAAAGATGCTGACAATTCTAAATATTTTTATACACTTCAAATAAAAGTAAGACATGTTTATGGCATATATATTTTGTACACCGATGAAATTTGTGCTTTGCAAATTGAACAAGTTTTAACATCATCACTATCTTGCATGATTTAACTAGAACAATTTGCACAAGTGCAGAAGTGACCGCACAGTATGAAAAGATAAGTTGATTCAGCAGTAATACACATAAATAATGCACGTACGATCAGATTTTACTTTTTCTCCACTTTTTTCGCACCTCGTTTCCTATTGTGTCCGTTTCCTACTGTGTCCGTTTGTCACTGTGTCCGATTGTCATTGTGTTCGTTTCTTCCTGTGTCCGCTTCTTACTGTCTCCGATTGCAACCACAGTGTGTCCGTTTCCTGCTGTGTCTGTTTCATGTTGTGTCCATTTTTCTGTGTCCGATTCTCACTGTGTCCGTTTCTTATTGTGTCCGTTTCTCACTGTGTCCGATTGCAACCACCGTGTGTCCGTTTCCTACTGTGTCCGTTTGTTACTGTGTCCGTTTCTTACTGTGTCCGATTGCAACCACGGTATGTTCGTTTCCTACTGTGTCCGTTTAATACTGTGTCCATTTTTTACTGTGTTCGATTGCAACCACCGTGTGTCCGTTTCCTACTGTGTCCGATTGTCACTGTGTCCGATTGCAGCCACCATGTGTCCATTTCCTACTGTGTCCGTTTGTTACTGTGTCCGGTTGTCACTGTGTCCGTTTCTTACTGTGTCCTTTTCTTACTGTGTCCGTTTGTCACTGCGTCTGTTTCATTCAATCTGCTGTGTCCGTTTTATCCTGTGCGCATCTGGGACTCACTCGCGTATATTAGTGAGGTAGGCGCTGTGCATAAGGTATACACGAAAATTTCCATCTATTTTTCGAAAAATTCGTACCTCGGAAAGTAACATTATTATATATGGTTGGATTCGGAATTCAATGTTCTTTAATTTTTGTTCTTACAAAATTTTGGAAATTTGCGGAAATAATAGGTGGAGGGGGGAGCGGGGAGGGTAAATTTGATATCATGAAAAATTTGAATTGACAGGTGCAAGGAGCATCAAATACTGTAAAACTATTGCACTTACAATGTTTTCATATCTCTCATATTCTAGAAGATATTTGATGAAAACGAAAAAAATCCGTTTCCTTCAAGGGATGATTTCAACCCCTAAACCTCGAGATAAGCACATATAGAAAAATACGTGTCTAATATTTTTTGATCTTCTACAACATATCCAATGCCCATTCAAATCGGTGAGGGACGCCCCCGACAGTTCCTTTGTAAGTGCATGAAATTTCGAAATTTGAACGGCCGCCATTTTTAATGGGAGGTCGTAGCGACTTAAAATTTTAAGGGTGTGTTTGTTATGAAAAGACATTTCAAATGAGCCCTAACTCGACCCTTAGTCCAATTTAAAATTTTCAACCCCTCTTTTACCTCGTGTACCAGGGTATGGGGAATGATCGGTATTCATGTCATAGGGTAGCTTTTTTGAAAAATCAAAACACGTGTTTTACCGTTTTTTGATATTTCCATTTTTGCAAAAATTATTTAAGGGTTTCCACACTTTTGACAAACCCTGTATAATGACGTGTGTACATTCTCTAGTTTTAGGGTGTCTATGTTCTTGCTAATGTTATTAATGAGCGGTAAAGTGAGTGACAATTCATATGAATTCAAAAGAAATTATGGGTAAATATTTTATATTATATTGAATATATACAGGGTGTTTGATAACTGATCATGCAGACGAAAGTTGGAGATAGATTGGGTGTAGCCGAGAAGAAAAGTCATGCACCATAATGTCAAATTGGCAATAGTTACTGAGTTATTAATTAAAACATTTGAGCCAACGAGCGCGTAGAGAGCGGAGGGCGGCCGCAGTAAGCACGTAGACATTTGATACAGGCGGAGTCAGCGAGGGATGATAGGCGAGCGCGCGCGGCGAGGGGCAACGTAAACGACAAGAGGCGAGCGCTCGCGACGAAGAGTGAGCGAGCGCGAACGACGAGGAGCGAGCGAGCTATAAGGAAAAAACTATAAAGAAAAATATATCTCATCGCACGCATGCACGCACGCACGCACGCACGCACGCAAAATTACTTAATTAACTTAAAATCATATTTGAACCACCTTGTATTTGTTCCATTTCTTATATTTTAATCAATAATGAAATAAAATATGAAAATGATATTAAAATCTTATTAATATATGTTATTATTTATAAGTATCATTATTTATTTATGAAAATAAAGGTTTTATTTAATATTTTACCGTAACTGCACCGTACATCCCTGATAGCAAATATGTTCAGAAAACATCCAAGGGATGTCCTGGAGACGTCCTATATCCTCCGGACGTCCCCAGGAGATTTATGTTAATCAAATGGATTGCTTCAATCTCTTAAAAATATGCGTTCTAATCGTAAATTTTCTTTTTCTTCTTCTTCTATTTCTTCTCCCATTTAATAAATTTAATAAATTTAATAAAATTCTCATTATTGCATCCATTGGTTTATCTCTTTGTCTCTCTCCTTTTACAAATATTAATTTCTTTTCTAATAAATCCTTTTTGGTTGAAGATTGTTTAATATTCGCTAACTGAGAGAGAGAGAGAGAGAGAGAGAGAGAGAGAGAGAGAGAGAGAGAGAGAGAGAGAGAGAGAGAGAGAGAGGTTATTAGAAATAAGATAATAAATTAATTTATTATAATTATTAATATTCTTATTAATATTGTTTGGAAATGCGCAGGCAATGATATAACATCACGTTGCTACAAGCTGCAGCATTACTGTCATCGAGGCGCGGCCGCGTGGCGGACGGCCTGGCTCCCGTTGATTTCTCGCAGGCGAGCACGCGGCGCTCCCGCCGACGCTCTGCGCGTAGCCACTAGTGCCGTTCGCGGCAGCTACATGACGCACTGATTCCGCTGCTCGCAGCTAAGAATCGGCCGCCCGGATGATATAACCGAGCGCGATTGCGAGCAGCGTGCCTTCGCATGGCCCAACGCCCATTGTGGCAATCCCTGGTGTCTGGTCTGTGCGACTTGTAGCGCCCGTCTTTACCGACGTTCTCTCTAGGCTTTCCTAGAGCAGTTTTAGTGCTTAGTCGAGATTCAAACCAACGCACTCTACACTCTGCTGAGTTGACTGCGGTACTAATATACCCTGCTGGGTTGAGGCTTTACGGTTAGAATCGACAGTTTAGATTTGAGTTCTCTGCGTTGCCATGCTTCAGGAGCGGGCTTTGGTCGCCTCCGTATGGAACGGGTGAACTCTCTCTTTCCAAGCGTCCGACGAGGACCTTGGCTATCAGGAGCGGCGTGACCGTCTCCTTTGAAGTTTGCGAACTCTCTCTTTCCAAGTATCCGTCAAGGATCTTGGCGATTTGACAAGTGACGTGATCGCTTCTTTGAGAACTTTGAGCTCTCGTTCCAAGCGTCCGCAGGACATCGGCTATTCGCCCAGGAACGACTCAGTCGCCTCCAGCGTGACAGGGCTCAGCACTTTCGTGTGCTTTGCCACAGTTCTTTTAACCGTTGCATCTTGCTGGCCGTTGAGTCCGAAAGGACAGGCCTTCTGAAACGACGGAGGTCGTTTCACATTAGCGCTTGTCGATCTATTTCGTACGAGCGTTGCTCGGGTTTCTCGGTTCGGATTTACGACCCGAAAAGGCCGCACGAGATCCGAGTCTACTAGCATCTCTAACTCCGATCCTTCTGACAAGGGTGTTTTGGCATCCTGCGTCACGGTCGTTCAACCACCTGGCGCGGCAATAAATATTCTTATTAATAATAAGATATATAAATAAAATGTATACTTACAGGGTAAAGATGACAAAAAATCTTATGAATATTATTAAGTGAGGTTATATTAGCTGTCAGTACACATTAATTTAATCCATAATGGAAAAAAATATCAAAACAGCCAAATAATATTTAGTAATTTCATAAAAATCACTATACTATTTTATCCGTTGCCGAACGGTTTTAGCTAAAACATTAAAGATAGTATAACACAATCATCTATGACCGAAGATTCCCGATCTGACATAGAAAAGCTATTAGGTAGTACGAATTATTATAAGCATCAACTTTCCTGTCTTATCTATTTTCTTTTCCTTGCTTACGTCCTTCTATGTCTTTAAAATTACGTAGTATCACCACAGATAGACAGATAGACAGACAGACAGACAGACAGACAGAGCGAGAGAGAGAGAGAGAGAGAGAGAGAGAGAGAGAGAGAGAGAGAGAGGGAGAGGGAGAGGGAGAGGGAGAGGGAGAGGGAGAGGGAGAGGGAGAGGGAGAGGTTGAGGGAGAGGTTGAGGG